CAGTTCAATTCAAGAAGCCATATTGGCACAATAAGATCATCATTGGAGCATCCGTACATATCAGAAGAGGTGTTTATGCAAATTTTGAATTATCTCACTGAGCCCTACTCCTCCTCTGTTTCTTTCTCCCTCTTGTATAATCTATTTTTAACATTTCTTCCTTATATTCTCACTTTTCCCTCATCCCCCTCCCAGAACATCTGAACCTGTCCCTGTTCCATCTATGCCTCCTTCTCTGTTTTCTCTCCCTGCTTCTGTACTTGCGCTTCCTTCCCACTTTTATCTTTTCTCCTCCTTCTCCTCCTTACCGCAGACATCGTTCACCTTGTCACGCTCTTGTAGGACACTCATCTTACATCACCTCAGGTCAGACAACACACACACACACAGACACACACACACACACACACACACACACACACACACACACACACATTTTTACAGTAGGGAGACACACTCTCTTTTTGCATATAGGCTCCATATGTGTTCGCTCTTTTTCACTTGTACAGCCGGAAAGCCACGTGTAATGAGTACAGGATGTTGGAGAAGCCAGGGTAATTTTAGATATGTAAGAGAGCGCCTGTGTGTGTGTGTTTCAGCGTTGTATCCAAATGCAGTAATGTATGCATGGCCACGTCTATATTGCTGCCACATCAGCCGCCAGCTGTGACCTGCTGCTTAAATTGAAGTTATAGCATAGCCCATCAGCCGACATGTAGGGAGCACACACCATATCTCCTTTACTTTAAGGTTGTAATAACCACTACTGTCTATGTGTTTCTCACTGTGCCCGTTTTAGCCTCCGTGAATTAAATAAAAGGAATGGTTGCTAGGAGGGACTCGTAAATGCTGCTGTGAAATGGCCACAGATGGAAGCTGTCACATTAAGTGAAACAAGACCATGCTACAGTTCACATGCAATGTTTAACTGAAGAGACATGGTGCAGTATAAAAAACATGTCTGGTTCACATCATCAGGTTAAGTGATTAACATCAATCCTTGAGGATTTGGGAGGCAGAAAGACATCAAAAATGTATTTTTGTTCTACAAATCTGTCTGTGGCAGAGCAATGTAACATACATTTGGTGAACATATTTAAAGGAATAGTTATAGGCCAATCCCATATTTGTCAGTTAAACATATACAGTAAGACTACAGCCAGCAGTTAGTTAGTAGGGATGTCCCGATCAAATCTTAATGATCGGTTTTAACGCTGATCAAGGCATTTTTTAACTGATCGGCTATATTGAACTTATTGATCTGTCACACAGCTGTCTTTACTCACAAAGGTTTAATGCACGGTGCAGCCATCGTCAACTCTCCACTCTGAGCTCTGTGTCAGTGTGAGAGCAGGAACAGCCCCGACTGCTGTGGAGTTTCACCGCGGGTGGGGCTGCCTCTGCTTGGAGCAGAGACAGGTGGTCGACACAGCCACATTTAACATGCCACTGCAAGTGCAACAAAAGCCCCGCAAACAAAAAGTTAATAAGAGTAATTCATAAATGTAATCTACATAAAGACACAGACAATGCAAAAAAACAATCTAGAATCTATACAATTCATTCAGGTACACTAGAGAGAGAAACTCCCTCCCGACAGCGACCAAACATTTGTGCAATGTGCACCTGTATTATCTGAAACAAAGTATTGGATCAGGACTTGGTATAAGCAAATACTTTTAGTTAACTGAAATGAAATGTCTCGGATCGGATCCAGGGCTACAAAAAAATGTATTGTGACATTACTAGTTAGCTCAGGTAAGCATAAAGACTGAAAACAAGTAAACAGTTAGCTTGGTATTGACATCCTGTGTCCGGTCAATGAAATAAGACCATAACCCACAATTTATTGTTTACATTTGTATAACGGCTAGCTGTTCCTGCTGGTTTCCAGCCTTATGCTAAGCTGAGCTAAGAAAACCTGCTGCTATGATATAGCCTTATATTTAATAAATATGCTATGTATTGTTCTTGTCATCTAAATCTCAGCAAGAAAGCAAATAAGCCCATTTTCTAAAATGTCGAACTAGTCCTTCAAGTGTTTTCCCTCCAGAGCCTAGAGAGTACAAAAGGTTCCAACTAAGTTTCCTGCAAATGTAAGTGGTGCCCTCCTCACACTCCCCATAATCATATAAGATGGACATATTTCAGTAAGGATAATAAGTTCTTAATGTACCTTGGTGACCACTTCACCTGCCTGATAAGGAGGAATCAGCAGTGACAGGGAGGAGTGAACAACATGTATCAGTCATTTATAATCATCATTATCAAGGTGTCTGTGGTGCGCCTAGAAAGCTTTGTTCACTTTTATGGCTGAGAGAGAAAGGGAAATGAAGCCAGAATTTATTTCTGGAGAAGACAGTACAGAGTTTTTTCTCCTGCAAAGAGATCTTGATGTGAAATTGATATATTTTCTCATGTATTCACACATGGCTGCAACAGGATGACAACATGTTATATATTGAAGTCACACGCTCCTGTAAGGCATAAATCAATATAATCTTGTGAATACTGAGCTAACAGTAGTCTGGAGTGGATGTTACAAAATGTGCCATCATATGTTTGATGACATGCAAAGGGAATCATTATTTTTGTAATAGGTACAGTGTCAGATTAATACATTTCTCCTTGGTATGCCAACCATATTGATTGTAAATGTCCCTTCTACTTGTTCTTCCATCTGTTGTAACAAAATACATTGTTATTTTGCAATGATAATTATTCTGAATATCACAGGGTTAAATCTATTTATTCTATCATGTGCCTTCACACCAGCCAATAAGCTTGTCTCTAATTAAAAATGCAGCTCATTATCCATCCAAACATTTTATGTAAATGAAAACAACAGCAACAACAACAACCAGGGAGTAAAGACTAAGACAAAGATAGGCCAGTCTTCTCCTTTAACTTTGAAATAACTGAGGGCATTTTATGGAGCTATTTTTACACCATGCTTTTAGTTTGTGTATTTGTCTTATGTTGTCGCTCTCTTCCTCTCTCTCTCTCCCTCTCTTTCTTTCTCTTTCTCTCTCTCTGGCGTGTATGTGTGGGCATGTAAGAAATCGACAAGATGGTTCAAATAATCACCAGCAACAACGGAGAGAGGAAATGTGTGTTTGTGTAAACAACTTCTGGTGTCTGACATCTGCAATCATACTCATACTGTCCTGAGAGGACACTCGCATGCACAAACACACACACTCACAGTCATAGGTGTATGAAAAGTGATAACTATGACATAAGTTCCGTTGATAGCCACTTTGGTTCTTGTGTCTGCGTAAAAAGATAGACGGACTGATTCATTGCCTTTATAACTGAATAAAAAATAAGAGTGCTTGTGTCACTTTGTTATTGAAATGTAAGTTAAAACTGGAGATAGCTGTTATTACCGGTGGTCTCCGCAACAACATGTAACCATCGCTTACTGGAGACAATTACGTCTTTTGTTTGCTGTCTAGTCAAAACACAGCATAAATAAATATATACATTTTATCTGCACTTTGAATGTTACAGATAGCATAATAGAATGTTTTGCATGAATCCACTGTTGACGGATATCAAAACAGAATTACCAAACAAACCTGAAATTATAAAACAATGGGTTGTGACTTGGCTCTTCTTTATTATTTTGTATGTTTGCTTGGGAAAAGAGATCATGTGGAGACCTGTAACTATGTAAGGTTCCTCATCATTCCATCTTTTTTTCTTCTCTTTTCCTTTTTCTCATTCAATAAACATTCTCTTAACAGAGTTTATGTCAGTTTGTGGGTGTCAGGCTGAATAAATTATCTTTGGTCAAACTGAAATTTAGTAAAGTTAAGTAATTATGGGACAACAAAACCAATTAAATGTACCTCACAGTTATTCAACAAGATGGCACAAACAATGAATCCGATTTTGTGTTACACAGAACTGCTTCAATTAAGGGAAACATATCCATGCATGACGGAAGTAATTCATGATAATTATATTCAACGGTAATTACTATATATGAATTCTGAAAAGCTTATTGGATATACTTTAGTAAATAAGTGCATTTCATTTCTAAAAAGTGAATGAAAACAGTGCAGTTTGTAGAATCATAAATTTTTGATTAGCAGAAGATCATCTGACCAATGTTTCAGTCCAGGCAACCAAAACACGGCCTATCAGTTGGGAGACGATTCAACTGCTGCTGCGCTGAACTACATTCAGGTAGGAATAGAATGTATAATACCTCTTCTGGGGATTTATTGTTAAATAGGTTTATAACTCTGGAGATTCTCCATTCAGTTGGGAGCTACAGTAGAATTCAGAAATTTGACTACTTAACAGAATATGCTATTGATTGCCTCTAATAACCTCTAGCCTGGGGAGTTCTGCAATAGTGCAGCATCAGACAGAAGCCTCTTTCCATGACTAAAGAGATACTGCTGACCCCCCTTGTACAGGCAAAGTCTATCCCTGAGGCTGTGGTGTTAGCTCATAACCATATCCTCTCCCAGCATATTATATTTTTCTACTAGCATTTGGCCACTGCCTTAGGCGGGCAGGAGAAAAAAAAAAGAGACATCTGATCGTCAGAGAGATGGAGGAGGAGAGAGCGAGAGCAGAGTGTAAGATAAGTGAGTCAGACACAAAAAGAGCAAGAACAAAAAAACAGGGGGTGGGGGGGTGCATTTCCTGTCGCCTGTTGTGATGTTGTCAGTGGAGAGTAGTAACGAAGCGGATCGTTTAGCCAAGGTGGCTCTCTAATTGTCTGGCTGACAGCAATTAGATGGCGCTCATTAAAACACTGCCCTCATTACTTTACAGACCACTCGCGGCAGGAGGAGACACTGCAAAGTGCAAGTGTGTCTTAAACTAAGGGGCAGGACCCAGAATTGGTGGACGGCCAAGGTGACTGCCAGTGGGTTACCATATGTCACACTAATTAATGAGCCCGGATCTTAAGGTGAGACAACTACTTTATTTGGCTGCTTGTATGGTTAGGTTCATGGGCTAATCAGTAGATTACTCACCTGTTTAAGAGGGCCTGGAGAGATGTGACAGAGGCTGGTAAAGGTCCACAAGGTCCTCAGCAGTCCCATCGTATTGGAAAGCAGAATATATCGGACCAGAGCAGTGGAATACACAGACTGGACCAATAGATAGCAGGGCTGTCTAGTCCAGTTCTAGCCTGCATCAGATCACTGCACAGTCTGAATCCTTTAGCAGTGTATAACTCAAGTTTAGGCTCCACTCGGTCCAGGTTTATTCAGGTCTCTCTGGGTCAGACTAGTTCAGTTAAGTTCGTTTATATACTGTATGTGCTTTCAAGAAACACACTTCTGACTGCGACAAAACAGGGTCAAAACCAGTAAGTTAAGTTAAACTTCAGCTCCAGTTCAACCCAGCTAATATCAGCTCAGCTCAAATCAGTTTAGCAGGATTGCATTATTCCACATGGATTAATAAAGTGGGGACCCTTATGGAGCCATTATTGTTTGAGTGTTCACATCCAAAACCAGACCCATCCAGACGCTTTCTCTGTGTGACATTAATCCCTTTCTGTTCGTGCAGTGTAACATATTGTTTATCCAGGTTGAGTGTGATTATCAGTGCGTCCAACTTTTACCGTTTGTCTGTTTTTACCATCCACGCGGTGTCTGTCCGTGCATGTTGATGCTCCTCCAGATGGTGAGAAGTTCATTCATATTTTCCGTCCATTTTCATTGTGAGACATATCCATATGTTTCTTTGTGTTGCTTTTTAAATGATCTATGTCCGCTGTCTCCACAGATTCGATGATCACACCGACAAGCTGGATCCGGCAGCAACTGGCCAATCAGCGGCCGGGCCTTGACACGGTCGTCCAATCCAGACACGAGAACCAAGATAAGCAGTTAAAAGTAAACCAGACAGTACAGGTCTATAACCCCATGATATCCATGGAAACAAAGTAATGGGTACAGTTAACAGGAGATACGGGATAGGAGCTATAGGGCCTTTTTTTCTTCAGAGATTTCACCAGCTTCTCCCTGGTGGTGACGTTCATTCTCCACATCTGCCACTCAGAACAACAACATCAGGGTTCTAGAAAACAGGAGAGCAAGAACAGGAAGGTTTTAAAGTAGAGCATTAAATATATTGTATTAGGCTAAAAAGGAAATTGCATTAAGGGCAAAGGAAACGCCTGTGTTCTAAAAGGGAATAACAAGGAGGTGAAAAAGACAATTTGAAAAATAGGGATCTGAAATACAGTCTTGAGAAAGGGATAAAAAAACAGTGTTCTGGGAATAAGATGTTTAAACAGCAGAGGTCTGAGAGACACAATTTAGCACCTGTGAGATCTGAAAAAAACAAAAAACAATTAGAATAGTAATACTAATAACACAGCATTACGAATATTGCTGCCTTCAACATGTATTGTTTGGTGTCGCAAGTTGAACTACACTTGATCCTACCCACAGGCCTGATTTATAAAATTCTCTGAGGGGTTCTATTTAATTTGTTTTCATAACTTCTGTCATGACTTGAAAGTTTCAGAAAAGCTTTACAGAGAAACTTTTGTATTCTTGGTGGGTATATTACTTCCTAAGGGAGAACAAAAGAAAATGAAACAATATGAAACTGAAGGAAATAAAGGTTCAAATGTCATGTTTTTCCTGACTTTGTAGTAACATCAGACTTGTCTCGGAGCCAAACAAATGAAAAGGCTCACAATACAGTATGTTTCAACTTGTCAGTTTTTTGTTTTTGTTTTAGGTTTAAAAAATGCAATGATGTGTCTGGGTTCATATTCAAATACTAAATAAATGCAACTAATGGAAAAAAAACATCTTTCTCATGTAAGAGATAACGTAATATCCATTGACCTCTTAAATAGCAAATAGGTTTCCATATATGTCCCTTAGAAAATTCAATCAGAATTCTTCATTTAACCTCATAGAATCTGTCTTTTGTGAGAGCTGTGTGAGAGTGCAACTGCTGTAAACTCTGGCGATACCATGAATGCGTGTGTAAACGAGACGTGCTGACAAGGGAAGCAAAGAAGTGTGATAGCTTGGTTAGTGATGGAGCTGTACTTGCTGTAGTGGTATATTGCCGCAGCTGTTATTTGTAATGTGTGTGTTTGTCAGGAGAGCATTTCTTAACTGTATTTGTCAGGAGGAATATTTCTTAACTGCATTTATGTACAGCCCGTGCTTATTGTGTCAGTTTAAGAATGAAGCAGAGTCTTCTTAATGCCTCAGACTATCTTCATCCATCACTACCACTACACATCTCCCCTGTCTTCTCCTCCATCATCCTCCTCTCCTCTCCCCCCGTCTTCTCCTCCATCACTCTTTGTACCATGCAGATGGATGAAGGAGATGGGGTGATACAGAGAGGAAGGAGGAGAAGGCGGTACTGGAAGACAATAACGCACTGTGAGTGGTGAGCAGATGGATAGAGAGGATATGAGAAGTGAAAAATAACCACACAGGCAATGGTATTATAAATTGAAAATGGACTGTAAAAAAAGAGGTAATACGGAAATAAAAATAAACAGTATATGCAAACACAGCATTAGAGAAAAAGGTTGTGCCAGCAGAAAGGAATGAAGGATGACTGAGGAGAGAGAGAAAAGGAAGGAGCAAACAACTGTGGGGTTGGATGAGAAATAAAAACAACACAAGGAGAGATGTCATTAGAAAGGAAACAATGGAAGAATATAAATAAGAAGGCAGGGGAAAGAAATATAAAGCAAATTAAAGAAAGAGTCAGAAATATACAGAGATTATCAATAGAGGTGGAAAGAGGGAAAAGGATAGGGGGAGTTTTGAGGACAAATGAAACAAACGGCAAATGAGAAATGAATTGAAGGATCAGTTCACCCACATTACAAAAAAGTCCGTTCCTCTAGTGGTAACTAGTCATGCAGAAAGGTCTCGTCATACAAATGAGTTTCATTTGCTCAGATGGGAAGGCTGTGGCTCAGGAGGTGGAGTGGTTCTCTGGGTTCTCCTGTGCACATTTCTAAGTGTCCTTGGGTAAGACACTGACCCCTAAGTGGTTCCCGATAGACAGGCCAGCGCCTTGCAGAGCAGCTTTGATGACAATTGGTGTGTGAGTGTGTGTGAATGGTTTAATGAGGCCAGTTGTGAATTGATTTGTCCATTAAGGTAGAGAAGCGCTGTATAAGTGCAGTCAATTAACAATTTTGAGATACTGATATTCCTGCCACAATACAACACAGGTGAATGGAATCATTTGTATTGCCAATAGGATAGAGAAATTATATGTTTTTTAAATTTCAACATCAAAAGTAATATCCCTATTACTCTTGATAATCCTGAGAATTTCTTCAGTAAACAGTCTTTTCAATGAAAAATGTTCATTGTGAGAGGCTGCAGCAATTATCTCCATCATGAGCTGATTACAAATTAGCATGATTTCTCAGAGCCCAAAATTCAGATTGTTGTTTTATGTGAAGTCCAAAACCGAAAGATATTCAATCAAAATAGTTGCCAATTAAATTTCTGTTATCGAACTAATCATTTAATCAAGTAAGAGTTGCAAAAATGTATAATTATTCTACCCTTTGAGCACATATCAAATTCCATTTTGCTTCCTTGTATTAGGGCAGAGGCAGGACTCTCCAGGATGGGTACCTCAAAAACTCAACATATAAAACCACTAGAGGAAAGTATCAAAATATGTTTGCTGTTCTTTGTAGGAACTGAGCCGACCAGAAAACAAGAAACCCAAAAGGAAGGGTCAGATGGCAGCAAGCTACACAGGACAGAGGCTGCAGTAGGGGCAGACCATTGAGGTGAAGTGACACAGGGTGAGAGAAACGGAGAAACTGTAGGAAGACTATGGGGGAAAAATCCAGGGAGGGCTTAAGTTTTAAGTGCCAGTCATTACTCTTTGTGTGTAGTGTTGGTGCGCTCTCTTTGTGAGGCCAAGAGACCTTCAGATCTTAAAGTTTCTCCATTCGACACTATGAGGCCGCCTGACGTCTGCTGCTGGAGGCGTCCGAGAGAGTAGAGATAGAGAAAGAAAGAAGGAAACACGGTCAGAAAGACTGATAGAGACATGGAGAGAAACAATAAGAAACAGAGAAAAACACTGACAAAGATGCAGCCAAACAGCATGGAAAAATGGGGGGAGAGAGGAAACACAAACTGTCAGGACAGTCAGAAAGCTGGTAAGAAGAACGACCAGGGAAAGTGACAGAGAGAGCTTGAGAAACACAGCGGGGAGGGGAAGAGAGAGGTGGGGAGATTCCGAGAGATGAATTCAGAGAGACAGACTGCGGTGAAGGATGAGGCCGGGCATACGGGATGACACTGAAAGGAGTGATGATAGATTAAAATACATGGAGGACAGACAGGCTACAGGGTCATGGGTGGGCCATGGGGAGAACACACACTTGCACTTCACACATAGTCACACACATCCTTGTGTTATCCTCTGCTATTTTTCTATCTGGCCTAACCTTGTGGGAGTGTTTGTACTGGCTCAAGGCAGTTGAACCTTGTACATAACAACACACAAATGCATGCACAGACCTGCAGGGAGTTGGTAGCTGACCCTCAGTTTACAGACATACACACAAATACTTATCTTGTGTGACTGTGAGGACATTGTATTGACTTACATTCATTACCTGGAGGCTCGCCCTAAAATTTAACGAAATGTAATTCTTAACTCCTTGAAATTAATGGTTTACCTCTTGGGGACATGTTTTTGTTGTTTTGTTCCCACAATGCGATTAATACACTACACACACACTCATGTTCAGTGTTTGGTTGGCTGTTCTTGAACTAATAGCACTTTGCTTGACATAATCACAATATGTTTGTGTCAAGCATATAATGAGTGCTAATCCTGAGAGAAAATTCCCCACTCAGTATTCAGGTTAAAGAGCTGCTTCTAAATCTGAATCCACATGCAGCATCCTGTTACCAGCCAGATCTCAAGCTCCAAGGCGACACTATGAGTGACAAAATGTTCTCAACTGTGTATTTGTTTGATGATTTATTTTTTTTCTAATTATAATTAATTCATACGTACAAGTTATTGGTTGCTGCTCATGCCTGACTCTCTGCTAGTGCAACTACACTGTAAAGGACAGGGGACAAAATAGACACAGTCCTCCTTCCATGCAAAATGTTTCTAAAGTGAGTATTTCCTGAAGTTCTGTACAGCCGGAACACAAACATAATTTTTTACTTAAAAGAGTAAAACTGACTTTAAGATACCCAATGATTTGTTTAACTTAGAATGCTGAAAACTTAACAATTAACATCAGTTAGAGAGTGAGGAATGTGCATTTTGTTCACATTGTGCACTGATCTTGGAAGGGACTACTTTAGTGCCAGCAGGAATGATTGCAGAAACCATCCATCTTAAGATAGACTTAAGAATATTTAAGGCAAAAGTCCAATTTCGTATCATATAACTTTAAGGAGACCCATTTTCCCTAAATAAAATAAATGAATAAATACAATATATATATAGTAATTAAATGTTTAAGTTTAAGCTTATGTTTAAGAATGGCATTTAAAGAATAAAAAATAAAAAAATTATTCAAATGATGTATTACTTTATACATGTGAATGTTAACAAACAGTCTATGAAAAGCAAACAAACAAAAGAAAAACTATCACCCACAATGTGCCTATTTTTTCATGTTGGGTCACACTTTTTTGACAACCGTAGGCCTTTAATGGGGTCTCTCTGTGTATCTGTCAGTTGCTCTATTCCTCAGGCGCTCTGACTCACTGCGGCTCTCTCTATGATCAGATCAATGTTGCCTTTCTCTGCAATGCAGCAACCAGTGAAACACATCACAGACACAGCTACACCCTGAGAAACCCCAACAGCCTTTGTACAAACACATGAGTATTAGCCCTCATTGTAGGTTGCCCTCAAAGTGCCAACGATCCTGGAATCAAAGTGAGGAAACAAAGAACTCAAAGGCCAGCGGTAACTTTTTCCTCCCTGGGTAAAGTGTCAAAATAAAAACTCTAATAATTATCTTGTTTGTCTGTCTCATTGTAGTCTGGGATGCCTGACTGAAACACTTCAGTCAGTAAAACTTTAGATGAGGTTAGAACTGTTAATTAGGCCTATAGGGGAAATGTTGGAGTTTGTGCATACGGTGGCACCTTGATGGTACAACAAAGTCAAAGTTCTTGATCCCAGTTTCAAAATTCTAGCCTATTACAGCCTTAATAAGAAGTCAACTCCTCTCCTTTCAAACTCCAATTTGGCCATACTAATTAATACTAATTAAAGTACATGTGCACAAACTCCCCCTCTTTCAGAGGTGAGAAAAACAACTAGAAAGCCATTTATTTTACTCTTAATATCCAGGGAAACCTGTTAGTTAGATGACACTTGAAACCATAGAAAATCTATGCAACTCTTCTTTCATGGAATAATTACAGACTGTGATGGGAGCAAGGTCCAGCACATGTAATTGTGTTATAAATGTAACACTGACTACCTAGCAGAGTGCATGAAGGTGAAAACTTTCCCCGAACTTTGTGAGCTATAAGCTGCTGTGCTCTGCACATATCTCTCGTCTCCTCCCTGCTATCAATGATGAGTTCAATGACGCCTCATTTCAACCTATTCAGAGAAGCCAATTGAATGATATATCAGCCACTGATAAAGTATTTCAACTCAGCTGTTTAAGCCACTCATGTGAAATGGTGTCTCCATTTATTCATTCTAATGAAACCCCAATTTCCTGAGTGGATTAGTGTTAAAGGGGAAGTGCACTGGAGTGGGCTTAGCACAGGGAAAATCTACCCGAAAAGAAAAATTCACATGCTCTTGTGGATTCATATTATTATAGCACTACTGAGCATTTCAAGTAATCTTTCTGAGCACGTGCGAGTCACTTCAACAGTTTGAATCAAGAGAACCAGGGCCTGATTACACAAAGAGTAGGTTTTTATCTAATAGCCTTTACTGGCATTAACTAAGTTACATAAAATTAATTTCCCATCTATATCTTGCACGTTAAAGAAAAGGTATATCATAATATTATAATCATGAAGCATTGTGCTTTCTCCTTCATGCTTTTTGCACTGCTGGAATAGCACGGTGAATGCACAATGACAATCCTAAATAAATTATTACAATTTTAGTAGAGAAAAAAATTGGTAAATCAGACTGTCCATCAGGGGACTGACAGCTATTCTTTGCCAGGAGCCATTACCTTAGAAACTAAAAATACTTTATTCAAGCTGGCACAAGATGTCGATCCATGAGCAGACAAGAGAGGCAAGAGATCAAGAGACACTGAATGGGAGCCTAAAGCTCAAGTAGTGCTAATAGCTCAGAAGCTGGAAATTAATCAATTTCAGTGCAACAAATTGGGTTGTGACTGTGCTCAACTTTAGCCTGTCATTTACACTCACTGGAACTTCAGAAATTAGTTTTTGGTAACAACGCAGACTTTTTCATTTCTAGGTGTCAGAGAGGCAAGTTTTCAAGTTTCAATCTTGGTTACGCTGTCCAAGGTCATCCAGCCTTCCTTTTATAACACATCATAAAACCCTTTTCTGAGGCATTTTATTGATATTTTTCTTGCTTGCTCTAATTGCTTTACCGCTTTTTTTCTGTGTATTTTACCATTTCTAATCATTGTGAAAAACTTTGTATAAAAAACTTTATCTATAGCCCCAGATTTCTGCTGAGTGCCTGTGCTGCTTACTGCCAATACTGGTACGCCGTTTACCCTAAACACACTGCTTCTGCTGGCCGTGCTAATTTATCCCTCTACTACCACAGCGTTCTCTTCTTAACGTTTTGTAAACTGCAGTATATACATTAATGATAGTTGACTGCTTCAGTTGTCTTGTGCATTATGCAAAGGATATTCACTTTAAATTATATGTGTCTGTTGGATTCTGTCTTGTTGCCCCTGGAGGGGTTCAATTACACGGCTGAATCTAAAGCAAGCTTCAATATATACAGAGAGCACTCTAGGGGGAATAATCTGAACTCGAGTGTATACAGCTGTACAAACATTCATAAATATACTGTAGTAATGGTTTAAGTTCATGAAGACAGTGCCTGAAGAGCTCACAGTGGTGTACTGTTGTCTTAATTTTGTTTAATTTATTTTATTTTTGGTTTATTTATGTTCTTATATGGAAAAAATATCATATATATTAATATATTATAATATTCATATTAATATATATAGATTGATATTAAAATATTCACAGAATAGACACACATCAGAGTGAAGCCCCACCAGAGACTTTAAAGAGCCTGTCCTTGTTTGTTGGACCAAGGAAGACACACAGCTGCGATAAATAAAAAGACACATCCATTTTTTACTTCGTCCGGATAAGTGTGAAAAAATTAAAATAAAACTTCCTTAACATGTTTGATTTTTTTTCAGAAACGGGAAACAAGGGTCTTGGGTTTCTTCCAAATCTGGTGTTGAATTTCAGCCAACCCTAAATAGCCTTTTCTTTTGTACTGAAGTAACTTTCCCTTTTCACTCTTAAGTACTCTGTTCGTGTCATTCTTCATGGCAAACAGGCCTTCTCAGGGTGCTTAAAGTCTAATAGTGTGTATCACCCTAATAGAGGAAACACAAGGAACGCTAACCAGAAAAATGCTACCTGCGGTGCGATGGGTTATCCCACCTGCATTAACAAATCCCTCTCTCCTCTAACACCAACCGGCAACAATGTCACAGCATCAGGCTCAAATCAGATGGGCAAACAAATAAACTTGATGGTTTCTTAAACTTCTTAACAACATTAAATCCTGTGAGTTACCGTTTTCTATTGTTCAAAAATTAAGCATGGTAATTGGCAAGAGCAGAGAACACAAATCAATGTGCTTGGGGGATGTAAGGTTATAGGTTAATTCCACTACACTGCAGATTGTTTGTTTGATGTGAAAACAAAATGAAAACCCCTTTCTTATATGGAGTGAGATTAGCTATGACCTGATTCGTCAACAATCAGAGAAGAGCGTTCACTACAACTTTTCGATGCTACTTCTGATCTACAGACACCCTCTGTCTGTCTTACTATCTTCCCAGTGCACGAGGATGCCATCTCTCTTATTCATTCTCTCGTTCACACTCACTCAGTTTCTCACTGTTCCACTTTCAGTTATTGTCTTGCTCAATTTCACACCCTTCAATTGCACATTGTCTATCTCTCATTCTCCATCTCTTTCTGTTGGACTGTTTTTTGTTTTGTTGTCCCTACTTTGAATGTCTTCCCCCCGATTTTTCTCTGTCAACTTCTTTTAGTCTTTCTTTCCATCTCTCAAATGCTTCCTCCTTGCTCTGCTGCCTTCCTCCTCTAAGTCTATCTCTTCCACCCTATCCGTCTCTCTACTACCTGCCAGTTCCTTGGGGGAGGTGGGCTCTTTGGCGACAGATGGCGGTCTGCTTTTCATCTCAATGGCGACCCTGGAGGAGTAGCGGGCCTTGGTGGGTGAGAGCAACTCTTCATTGGCCAAGGAGTCAGTCCTTGTCATTATGCTCCGTCCACTGCCCTCCTCCTCGACCAATGCCACTGTGTCTCTCAGAGTGTTGCTAGGCGACATGGCCCTGGATGGCGCTAGCGCTTGGTCATCCTGGCTGTCAGGCATTTTTGAGGCAGAGTGAGGGAGGACTTGGACCTGTCCTCCTCCTTGTCCGTTGCTCTGCGGCCTTGAGGCAGATGTCGCAATGGCTGCTTTTCCGTGGTCTGCCCCATGGTTGCTGTAAACCTTATATCGTATCATTAAGATAATAATAAAAACCAGAACAGAGGCAACAATAATCCCTCCAATTATGATGATCATGGTACCACCCAGGAAGTGGCTGTGCAGTGCTTGGCACTGGCTGAACTCTGTGTCTGTAGTAAATGACAGACAGCCCAAAGGACGTGTTGCAGTCAGTGATGTGATGACATCATCAAACACGGCCAGGACACAAAGGTCGTAGTTGCGTCCGGCGGCGAGGTCCCGTACCAGGAAGTCATTGCTGCTGGATGGAATCATCCTGCCAAACAAAAAGACAAAAGAAACAAAGATATTAGTGTCAGGAAATGTAATAACTTTAGATAAATTACTGTACATCAAACTCATCATAACGAACTTTATATAATGTATCTGTACGTTTTGAATACGTTTCCAAAATGTTTTTTAGAAGAATAATTTGGTAAAAATTGAAGAAAGAGTACAATCAATACACTCAATCAATCCATTCATTCAGAATATAGTAGACGATGACCTGTATTCGTACAGTAGGTCAGTAGGTCACCTGGACATGCAAAAGTGTGAAATTTGTCAACAGGCATGCAATTATATACACACACATATATGAAGAAAAAGTTTCCAAAGTACTAAATCACAAGTTCTGCAAACCTTGTAGGAAATTCTAAATAAAATTTTAAAAAATAAAGCGTTACTAGCAAAGATGTAACAGGTATACGTATCTGGAATAGTTACTTTAAGTAGTTGGTTTTATATTACAAATAATCAAAAATGAAAAGCGGTTCTGAGATACTACAAGAGCTTGATTGCCCCTTTAACTATTTGGACGGCTCATTTTAATGGACTAGACAAGAACACAGCACCTTAAGCTGGAGAAACATTTCAGTTTATACATCATTAGGTTTGTAAATTCTGATGCATGGCAACTGTTCACCTACTTTGCACTGATTGTTTGCAGTGTTCTTTTTGTTTTATCTTCCCCAGTTTGATTTTTCTTCATCAGCATTTCTTGATAGATGAACATGTACACAAGGTTTATATTAATTAAACTCAGAGCTTCAGACCTGTTTCACCTCTTACCACACCCAGCATCACCTGTACTTATACCTGTACCTGTATAGTTCACCTGTACTTCACTGCAGCATGGTGAGAAATTAAACCACTGGAGGTCAGCAAAGACAGTATATTCCAGAAATATTAAGCTACTCTTTAAAGATGTCTTACTTGTGTTACAGAGAAAGATGAATCAATTACTCTATGGTCATTATGTCGCCTGCCAAATTATTCCACAATGTCTTACAAAAATGTTCTCAATGACATTGCACTGTTGGGCCGGTCTCATAAAAGCCAGATTGATTAACAACTGGCATAGAGCCGGATCAGAAAGCCAAAATACCTGCCAACACAAACCCTCTCTGTCCAACTCTGTCTGTCCATCCACTGCTACACTGTACCAGTCAAACAAGCAACGCAGAGTCATATAAGGAAAAAAATCCCTTCCAAAAATAAAATGATGACTATCTGCTTGTATTGCTCCCTTGTATTCTGTTGTGTGCTATTATGTGAAAGCTACAGCGGTGACACATGCACTATCATATATTTCCATGCGGTGCTGCCTGTGGCACAACAGCCATCTCATCGCTCTTATTTCCCCACAGAGTTTGAATTCATAAGCCTGTGATCTGACAAACACTCACACAGATCCATCCCCCTCAGCTGCGGAAATCGTCATTCTCTGATTAAACACATTCCTGATTCTTACCATTGTCAACTTCTATCTCTGTCTTTCCCAAGGTAAACACTGATACCTCCAGTTTTTCCTTGTCAGTATGCTTTCCTGGGGGAAATCCAGGAGAAAAATATCACCCAGGTAAACAGGAGGCAATGCTTCTTCCATACTTACCTTAGTTTTGCTTTCTTTCTCTCTCCTTTGTCTCTCTGCTCTCTCTAGGGGTATTCAGCATAACTAGTGGAATTGTCAAATACCCATATGTCACTGCTACATTTATCTAAATCATATTTCACTTCTGCTTTCTTCACGTTTTCCCCAATGTACTCTTAAGTCTTTCTGCCTATGCCCATCCCTCCCCCATAAATGTATCTCCACCTCTGCACGGATACAGACAGGCCTTGCGCTATAGTATAGAGTGAAATAGAAATGATGGGAGGCTTGTGTGTTGGTGAGAGCCAGTGGGCAGCAGGGTCTAGTCTCAGTGCCAGGCTCATCGATGGCATTGAACCTCTACCAGGAAGTATATCTTGGCAGATAACTCTGTGTGTGTTTCTGTGTGTGTGTGTGTATGACCTAGCGTGTTTGTCAAGTCTGGTGTGAAAGGATCCCTGGACTGAGTTCTTAATAGGAATCAAACCAGGAAACTTTAACTGCCCTGACGTCTTGCCGAGGGGTAACAGCATGATTTGAGAGCGGAGCTGGACTGGGGTTCCCGTAAGCAATTTCACAAAAGGGTATTGAAGGAAAAGAATCATAGAAAACAGCACTACCGTCCACCTTATTAAACTTCAGGAAACTACAGACTGGGAGGTCTCCTAACTGTGTTTGAACAAAATGATACCATGGTTTTCTCATCTTTGCAGTGTGACAAACTAAATAATAGTTTATTAGGGAAGAAACGTCTGGGAAATCAGTAGGAGACCAGGGCTGGCAATGTCCTTCAGAGAAATCCCACAAAGCACATGTGGGCTTCTAGTCCAATATCTGCAGTCTGACACATTGCTTTCCATTTTAACAAGCAACTTATTGCCTAAACTTGCACCATATTTTTGCTATTTGAGAAAACACGAGCTGTGATTCTTGTGACACAGAGTGAGATGTGTAAAAATGTCCTTAGGAGTTAAATAATCTGACTCAAAACAAGTCGTGACTGACTGTGATTAAATTGTCATGGAGACAGAGGGAGCACCTTTTAACATTGATTCTGATTGTTCATCACTTTTCACAACATGCATTCTGCCGTTTTTTTGTAATTAAGGACAAATAGTAAATTTGAATGCTGGAATCAGGATATAACTATTCCTTTTTTTAAAATGAACTAAGTGCTAATAATGAGATTTCACTGTCGTCACTTTAAGAAGTGAGAATTGGCCTGAAAGGTTTTATTTTGGCACTATATAAGAACCAAAAATAACTAATGAAGGAGCTCCAGTGTGTAATTCACTTTATTCTTAGCCAGTCCGTGACATTTTCCACTGTATTGTGATTTGCTGTCAGTTGGTTTCGTTTCACTGAGCTATTTGTCATGTTGTTTATAGTTTTTTGCTATTCTCTAATAACTAGGCTACACTGACCAAAATATGACAGTTTACATCCTTCCCTGAGTACACAAAAACAATCATCAATCAATCTGCAAAGGAATCTGAAGTGCAATAACAAAGCGTTAAATGCAATAAAAACGAGAATCTGGGTAAAGCCATGGAGAGTGAAATGCAGCTACTGAGAACTAAGCACACAAATCCGATGTGAAGGCTAGCTGATGATTCAGTTTCATTTAATATTCCCAAAAATAATATTTTCATTCATCATTACTAATAAATATTCACTTCACCTCTTCACCTTGCTCATATTGGCAAGGAGTACACTCTGGGCATACATCTGTAAACTCCACACACCACTGATGAGGACCAGTGCAGATTTCAGATCATAATTATCTATTATGTTATCACTGAAGCAACTCAGATCAATCAAATCTAATCCAACCACAATGGGTGAGATTGAATCAGTGAACCCCTTCACGCTACCCAGATAATCTTTGCCAATCATCAGCATCCCGTCTTAATACAATTCTCCTAAGATTGTCAAAAACTCCAAGTGTAAATCACCACCCTCCACACCTCTAAGTGCTCTGTTCTCAAACTTCCACTGGCCCAAGGCTTTGCTTAAAGGTAGATGCACATCAACTGAGAAGTAAGTGGGTGGGATGAGGTGAAGGAAATTCTAAGGGGGGTCGCTATTAAAACATAAAATCCCACCACCATCTGCCCTGTTAAACTTGAACAAGTAGGACTGGTTGAGTAGATTTCTTGAATGTTCTGAACAAAATGTAATGCCAACTCTTACATTTATGAGCGTGCATTTTTCCTTTTTTTCTAATGATGTTTTTCTGTCTTAGCCCTTGAATGACTTCAAAAAGTATCAGTTACAGAACACCCTTGGAGCAATTCAAGGACATTTAACAGGGTGTTAACTGAGTGACACAGGAGACTGAATCCTGGACCATCCATTTGAAGGATGGTTTTCTTATTTACCCCCCTATGCTGTTGCCAGATGCACAAAAATGATCACAGCAACTTCAATGATGAAATCAGCATATGGCATTTAATATGCTCATTGGCTAGCATCTGTTTGTGTTTTGTAAATTGACAGCTATACAGATGTGTGACGACTGAGGCCACATTTCCGACCAATCAATAATTAGCCATGGCTGGGAGTTTTGCGTCTTGTGCACTTTTGTGTCATGACTTAAAAAAAATGGACAAGGACTGCTGGGCAAAGCATAAATGGTTCAGCAAGCCCATTTGACACTGCAATCATACTGGATGATTTATTCAGTTAATGGGTTCAACCACCGACACACACACACACACACACACACACACACACACACACACACACACACACACACACACACACACACACACACACACACACACACACACACAATACACAGTGAGAGTTAAACAGCTTAATGGATTCCTTCCATCCACAATTCAGATTCACAGACACACAAAGACACACAGAGCTACTGAGCAATACTAATGGTTTGCACAACTCTGCTGCTCTCTCTCACACACACACACACACACAACCAAAGACAGATCAACAGCCAGTTATGTTTTGTCACTCCTCGGTTTATCCTCACACCCACAGGCACACATGCAAACACACGACCACACACACACACACACACACACACACACAAGTGTGCACCCACACACAACTGAAAGACTGCAAGACTCATTCAAATACACAAACAGATCAAATAACTAAGTGTTTGAATTGAACAGATTAGCGCTCGCCATGTGATCTGACTCTGTGTACAGATGCACAGAAATACTGCAAGCATGACAATAGCCTGATTAATGTGTTTAACGGATTGCATAAACTGACGACTCTACAGAGTAATCCATTTTCACGCAATTTATTTATTTCTTTAACATGACTAATGCAGTCTTTAGTACGTTAGTACAAGTCATTGTTTTTCTATGGAAAGATCAATAACGCCAAAAGAATATACTCCTTGCTGCTGCAGTAAAAGTGCAGATTATTTA